CCCTGAGCCGGTGAGATTTGAACCGCTGAACTGCTGATCTAGCAGTAGCCTGCAGTGCTGCATTTAACCACTGCGCCACCTTGGCTCTTATCTAGATATGGTGGAAAAAATCCAAGCAATTGAAAATTTACAATGTAATTTACATTTTTTTAAAAAAAAGGTCAGGCAGGGATAGAAGAAAATAATAGAGCTTACTAGTATCCCATATGTAAGTCCTCCATCTAAATATTAACCAAGCTTTCTTAGCTTCTGAATCCAGAAATGTGCCTATACTTCAAAGGGATTAGGAGGGATATGGTTGATTTGTTTTGGAAGGGGGTAAGTGGATTATTGCAGCCACAATTTATATCATGTATTTATTGGTGAATTCTGAAAGTGCATCTTATCAGAAAAATAATAGAGAAGTTCTAGACACAGTGAGGCAACTTTGTCTGATATCTGCTTGTTGGCTCTTTCAATTCCAGGTTCCAATATAACTTGATTATAAACTTTTTTTTTGTCCCAGGCAGCAAACTCCCATGGGTTAACACTTATTACATATTTTCAGATGATAATACCTGATTTACAAGCTGAGTTTCTAATAATGTTTACACTGATCAAATCCATTTTTCTCTTCATTTTACCTCACCCTGCTCTTTTCAACAGAAGTCTCTGTTAATCATCTTTCAGTTTACACAAAGCTTTACATTTCTATTATACAACAGAACAGCTTTGTTAAGCAGTTTGGCCATTCTCCCAGAAATCCACATACTGAAGGCAGTGTTGTTTTGCTTGAATAATTTATTCAATCTTGAAGAAAACTATGTAACTATATGCATTACGGGTGCCTGAGGGCTTTTGCCCAGCAGCTAATAGACTTCCTTGGTATGATGATTACGTGTTCCAGCTTTGTCCAGTTTAGTTGCTCCATGTCCTTCCAGGCTCAATGTTTTAAAAAGTTTTATTGCTTTTTTGATTTAAATATATATCAATATCAATACATGCACAATGTGACCTTATAATTCATTTTGCCACAATTATTATTATTGTTATTATTATTCAATTGTATCACAGTGGCCAGTTGTTTCGCCGGATTTGGCATTGGTTACTAGTCGGGCCCCACCCAGGGGCCTAGGACGTCGTAACGTATTTTCGTAATATGCGTGCAGTTTCAAGCAGTGCGGCTTTTTGCATTTGACTGATGGTGATTTTGTCAATTTTTAACTGTTTTAAATGTAATTCCAGTGCTTTTGGAATAGCACCCAGTGTGCCAATTACCACTGGAATTACCACTGCTGGTTTGTGCCATAGTCGTTGAATTTCAATTTTTAAGTCCTGGTATTTTGCTATTTTTTCATGTTCCTTCTCCGCGATCCTGCTATCACCTGGTATTGTGATGTCTATGATTGTGACCTTATTTTTCTCAACCAGTGTGATGTCTGGTGTATTATGTGCCAGTATTTTGTCTGTCTGTATGCGAAAATCCCACAAGATCTTGACCATCTGATTTTCGGTGATTTTTTCAGGCTGATGTTCCCACCAGTTTGTTGCTGTTTTAATATTATAATTTTTGCACAAATTCCAATGGATCATTTGTGCTACTGAATTGTGCAGCAATTTATAATCAGTCTGCACAATTTTTTTACAGCAGCTGAGTATGTGATCAACAGTTTCATCAGCTTCTTTGCAAAGTCTCCATTTGGCATCATCAGAGGATTTTTCGATTTTGACCTTAATGGCATTTGTGCGGATAGCTTGTTCTTGCACAGCCAGGATTAGTGACTCTGTTTCTTTCTTTAATGTACCTGTTGTTAACCATAACCAAGTTTGTTCACTGTCCACTTTATCTTTTATTTTTTCCAAAAATTGGCCATGCAGTGCTTTGTTCTGCCAACTCTCCATTCTTGATATTATCACGTTTTCTGTATTCTTGTTTCATCTGTTGGGCCTTCAGTAGTTTTTTGTTCTTTACTTCGATTAATAGATGTTCTTGACTTTCTTTGAAATAATCAGCCAATGCATGTTTTTCTTCTTCAACTGTTTGCTTCACTTGTAATAATCCTCTGCCACCTGATTTTCAGGGCAGGTATAGTACAGTATTACCACGTTGTTGTTGTTGTTGTTGTTATTATTATTATTATTATTGTACAATTGTATCACAGCGGCCAGTTGTTTCGCCGGATTTGGCATTGGTTACTAGTCGGGCCCCACCCAGGGGCCTAGGACGTCGATTATTATTATTATTATTATTATTATTATTATTATTATTAGCTGTTATTAGCTGTTATATAGCTGTTTCTGAATATGAAATAGTTAATTTTCATAAAGATCATGAACTCTGCATATTGTACCTCTTTTGCAAGAGAACTGCTATTGAGAAACACATGGCAGGTGTCTTTGTGCAAATGTTTTCCCCCAAATGTTTTTGAAAAGATTACTCAGCTATGCACTCTAACAACAATTTTGTGGGTTAAAGAAATGCGGCTCTGATAACAAGACATAATAAATTGATGCATGGCGCTTGAAGTTTAGTTTCTCTTCCTCAGTTCCAGAAATTTGGTGTCCTTCTTATCTCCCTTATCCAGAAGGACATGATCCCATGGAGCTCACTGCTCACCCCATGAATTCTATCAGCATTGAATAGCTTTGTAAGGTCACACCCCTCATTTCTGGGAGACTTTGACCAACAATCTTTTTGTATGAACGTGGTTTGAAGTTACATATCAACCTTGTTACCCTGATCAACCAGGGATAAAAGAGTTGACTTTGGTTTTTGAATGGCAAAAGAAATAATAATAAACAAATGATTAGAGCTAGTCCTTGACTTACAACTACAATTGAGCCTAAAATTTATGCCGCTATGTGAGAAATTTGTTAAGTGAATGTTGTCCTGTTTTACAGCCTTTCTCGCCACAGTTGTTAAGTAACACTGCAATTGTTAAATTAATGACATGGTTGTTAAGTGAATCTGGCTTCCCCACTGACTTCGCTTGTCAGAAGGTCCCCGAGGGGGATCACATGACCAGGGGACACTGCAACCGCCATAAATATGAACCACTTGTCAAACATCCAAATTCTTATCATGTGACCATGGGGGAATGCTGCAATGGTTGTAGGTGAGAAAAATGGTCATAAGTCACTTTTTCCAGTGATGTGGTAACTTTGCACAGTCACTAAATGAACTGTTGTAGGTCGAGGACTACCTGAATTGTAACAATGACACAATGAAAATTATGTTGCTTCATTTGAAAGTCACATCTTCCCCCTCAGAAATCCTGAATTTGTTGAAGAAGCAGTTACAAATTTTACATATTGCAAGTGGTGATAGAGCTTTGACAATGATACTACAAATATGCTTGTATAAGAAATATTTGAATCTGGATACTCTATTGCCCAGTTTTGTTTCATAACAGCCTGTGTTGAGAAACAGTTATTGCTATTGGAAAGAACTAGCTCAGGAGATTAATATTTGAAAGCCAAAGGTTAGGAATCTATTCCTGGGATATACTATGAACAACAGGGTACAGAAGTCTCCTCCTATATGGTCAGAAAAGTCAAGATGGCAGCCATAACAGTGCAATCAAATCTTAACCTGTTTTTATGCGCATTGCCTAGAATTCCACCAAGATATTGTGGCTGCCATTTTGTTTTTGTTTTTTTTACAATACTCTGTGGACACCGATAGCAGGATACCTCTTACTCGAGAAATATACTAACTTTAACTGAAGGAAAAACTAGTTTGTTTCACAAATGGTTTACTTTTTTTTTTTTTTACATCTCGGACGCCTCTTCCCTAGCCAGCCTGCTTGAACTTGTTCGTGCTGAATGACTGGAGAGCCCTGACGAGCCCTAGTGACTGGTGAGCCTGGAGGGTTCTAACTTTAACCAACTTTAATCAACTTTAATCAACTTTCCATTTAAAGAAGGAAGCGTCGGAAGCTTTATTGAGACCTTAAGCTTTGGCTGTGTTTGTTGCCGCCCCAGACGCCCCTCCCCCCCNTTGTTGTTGTTGTTGTTATTATTATTATTATTATACATTTCGTAAAATAAGTTATGTGTGGTAGGAAAAGATAGCGAATGTATTTAGAAAAACATAATGACAGAGGCTTTAAAACTATACTCTTCTCTATTCATTTTAAAACAATTTAGGGACTAGGTAGTACATCAATAACAATGCTATTTATTTCTCTCTCTGCGCACAACTTAAGGAAGCTTTGATAAGAAAGCAGCAATTGTTCATTTATGTTACATTGTAGATCAAACAGGAAAAGGAAGAAATAATTGACAAAACCCTAATCTAGCATCACATAACTTATACTCATTTTTTTAATTTATAAAAGGTTTCAGTTGGTTCTCTTACCCATTTCCCTGACATACTAATTTGACAGACATGAAAAAAGTCAAAAATGGTTTAAGAAATATTTAGAGGTAGTTCAATTGACTCCACAATTTCAGTCGTAAGTCTTGATGATCCTAAAGCAAGTCATCAGTTGACCATACCTGATGTTACAACTTTTTAAAAGACAGTTGTTAAGCAATTATCATGTTTGTTAAACAAACCTATTGTTCGCTAGGACAGTTTTTGACCAAAATCTGAAATAAATAAGTTTCTGGAAAAAAACATTGTAAATCACAGTCATGTGACCACAGGGCATACAAATGGACATAAATGTAGGCTTGTTGACAAATGTCCAAAATACAGTCACATGACTGAAGTATATCTATGTATCTATGTATATTTCTCAGATTTCAGAACTTTGAAACTGTGTCCTAAATAGTTTTTTTGGACGTTCATAAGTTGAATGCTAATATGATGTGATGTCAGGATTAAGTTCTGGCTAGGTTCCAGTCCTAGAGCATAAACAAGGTATGCTAGATGTATTGAATATAATCATTATCAAATACAGGTTCTGAATTGTGGCCCTAAATAAGTCCTGCCCAAATAATATATGTGAATCATATTTACATTTATATTTAGGCTTCTAAGTTCAGGTTAAGAATATGAGTGTTTTATTAGTTTTGAAAGATTTCTAGATAAATGCTGAATCTTAAACTTGGCTCTCAAAGCATCCAAGAAGTATAAATATTTAGAACATAATATTGTGCAATTTTAAGTTCTTTAAGAAGAACTTTTCATTAACAATTCACTGAAATAGAAGATTTCAAAAATGGAATGCTTAGTTTTTAAGACGGATTAAATAGCATGATCTTCAGAGTAAAATGAGATTTACAAATGTAAATGCAGCTATTGTGCAAATCCATTTGTGCATACTGATTCTTCCTCTCCCTTTCTTCCAATCAGCTTATATTGAAATTTAAGAACTGAATTAATTCAATGTAAAAGGTTTTAAATAAGTTAATTTGAATCTATACTTACCAAAGCTGCTATTGCAATAGGCACTCCAAATATTTCAGGATCAACTGATCCAAAAATGTGACTTAAAATAAAGATAAATAAATAAAGTTAATGCTCCCAACTTATTCAATGCATTTGCAGTAAATGAACTAACTAGAGAAAAAAAAATCATTTCTATTCTAAACAGAACTTTGATACCATTTCATATATATATTTCAACTATTTCATATATATATTTCAACTAGACAACTCATGACCCATTTTTTTGTGTGTGCAAAAACAGGGGCATTTTTGCCTTGCCCCAGCCCTGCTGTAGCCTGCAGAGTGCTGCTGGTGGCTGAGGAAAGGCAAAAACGTTTTTTTCTTACTTACTTTTTCAAAAACTTGGTGTGACTTATAGTCTGAAAAATATAGTACAGTCTTCATTTGGAAAATGTAAAAATATATGTTAACTAAAACTTACCTAGTGGCTTCTATTGGAGGGAAAAGCGATATTGGAATGGAAAGCAACTTGCTAAAAAGGTTACTCCACTGCAGCTGAAATCACAGGGATATTAAAAAACAGAGTTTAAAAACAATGCAAAGACAAATCATAACAACATGGCAGAAGGAACTAGTCATACCTTAAAAGGATCAAAAAATGCAGTGGTACTGGCATTTGAATAATCTGTAGCATACGCTGCACCTAGAATATACAATCAGATATTGAAAATAAAACAAAAAGCAATTATAGTACAACATGGAAATTACAATTTGGTGATTCATCTCCTGAACAATGTATCAGTTACATAATTTATAATTATAAAACCATGATTGCCTCCTTCCAAGAGGTTATTTTAATTATCTTGCAATATCAAACAGAGCAGTTCATTTAAACTAATGTTCTATTAACGCTATTATCACCATTGCCTTTATTGGTGCGCTTGATCCTCTATACCCGGGATGGCGAAGCTATGGCATGCATGCCACAGGTGGCACACGGAGCCATTTGTCAGGACACGCAAAGCATTCCCCTCAGCTGGCCAGTGCGCATGCATGTGTTGGCCAGCTGAGTTCAGCCTTTTTAAAAGCCATTTTTCATCCTCCCCAGGCTCCAAAGGCTTTATAGGAGCCTGGGGAGGGCAAAAAGAGCCTCCCCCCCCCCCGAAGCCCTCCGGAGGCTTCAGGAGCTTCAAAAAAACGGCACTATGGGAAAACAGGAAGTTCGGGAACGGACTTCCGGTTTGCTTGGAGGGTCGGTTTAAGCCCTCTGGAGGCTTCAGCGACCTTCAGGAGGCTTCCTTGAAGCCTCTGGAGGACCAAAAAGCACCCTATGAGCAAATGGGATGCGTGCACCCTGACACCGAAGATGGCGACTGCCGACCACGCAGTCTGAGCACGTGAGCCGACTCCGACTGAGTCGCTCTCCTCCTTCCTGGGTCCTGCGATCCCTGTGCTGAACCTAGGATCGCTTGCAGGTCCGCTATGAGGCACAGGGTCTGGAGCTCCCCCCTGCCTCCGAACCACGGCTCGGGAGCCTCTCAGTAGCGCTATCCGCTTACTGTTCACAGGCTGATTGCAGAGCACACAAGAGGAGGCTATGCTAGACAATTACTCTTAGCTGAAAGGAAAAAAAGGTAAAGTCTCATACCAAGGACAGCCAGCTAAATTAGCTCCTTCTGGGCCGAAGACTGAGGTTAATCTGGGGAGTCAGAGAAGAAGCAGAGGGAGTGGCCTCAAGATCTACCTCAGTCTCCGGGCAGATGGGCCGTGACAACACCCAGATGTGACTGCTCCCACGCCCCACTTCGGAGACATGGGTGTATTACCTCTCCCTCCTCCAATTTAATCACTGTACCTACCTTTAGTGAGTTTATAAAGTAACCAAGTGTCAACTGTTCCAAAACAGCAATTGTCATCTTTAGCAGCTTGTTCTACCTGCAAATGAACACACAGGTCACATTTCTCTTTGCAGGAAGGCAAATGTAATCCATTCACATCAGTGCACTTATAATAGCTCTAGACAGCTAGTCTGATACTCAGTCAAGTCTAAGGGGTTGATAGTAGTATGCAAAACCCTAAACAATCCAGCAGATTGACTTAATTAGGCTAATTAATTACATCAGCCTTCTAGGCGCTTATGATGTTTAAAGGAAATCCTTTTCTTTATGCCATAATGTGGAAATTGCTGTTCAGAAGATGAATCAGATAGTTTATGAAATGTACAACTCCATGCATCTTGGCTGATCCCAAAACTAATATTTTAGATGTCTTTCAAAAACACACTACATGATATTGGGGAGGGAGAAGAGGGGAAGAGGGAGGAAAAAAACAGTCTGGACCCTTTGCTAGCTACTAAAACTGCTAGATGAGAAGAACAGATTACCACTGTAAATTGTAAATTGGCTATTGACAATACAATAATGCAATAGCAGAGTTGGAAGGGATCTTGGAGGTCTTCTAGTCCAACCCCCTGCCAAGGCCAGGAAACCCTATACCATTTCAGACAAATGGCTATCCAACATCTTCTTAAAAACTTCCAGTTGGGGCATTCACAACTTCTGGAGGCAAGCTGTTNTTATTATTATTATTATTATTATTATTATTATTATTATTATTATTATTATTTAAATTACTCCAGGATTATCACTTAGGCCTGGAAGTTCTAGTCTACTTATTACTAAGGTAATAAGACTCAGTGATTTATTAAAGGTTAATGTTGTAAAAGGAAAAATGTCCATTCTGCCTCCTCTGGAATCCAAATGAGATGATGTGTTTGTTTGTTTTGTTTATCATATAGTTATATTTATTTATTTATTTATTTATTTATTTATTTATTTATTTATTTATTTATTTTATCATATATTGATAGTACATTAGCCAGAAGACTGCAGTGTTAGTACAGAGTAATTATTTAGCTGCCTAAGGCTGCTAATCCATTCGGTTCATCCTCATGCACTATTCAGATACACCACAAGAAGCGAAATACTTTTGCACTTGGAATTATTAATGATTAGTGTCTTCCAGGGCTCTTCCCTCCATGTGAATGTGAGAATGTCACCTCACATTCAGGCATTGAATTCAGGCTAGTCTGGCACTGGTTAGGATGATACTTCCCCACAAAGTGGTACCTGCTTGCATGAGTCACTGTTTCTCAGCATATCCATTACTGCCTTTTATTCTACCACTGATTTATTAGTTTATGTCCTTCTTGCTGCCACCAACATGGATTCTATATAGTTTAATTAGTCCAACAGACTAGCTTTAAAAACTTAATTTATCTATGTGATTCTCATAGGTTGTGCAATTCTAATGGATTTAGGAATCAAATTACTAATGTCCTCAATCAGGAGATTAAAACTTTTTCATTCCAAATTGCTATTTTTTTTATCCAATCCTGCTTATCCACTTTGTGGAGAGGAGAGAGGTTTCAGGCACATTTTTCCTAATATATCTATATCTGCAGAAATCGCTTCATGACAAATGACCAACTGTTATAACATAGGCCAATGGCTGGGCTTTGTTGTCTGATTAGTTGCTATTTCCTAGAAGAAGCTGCAAGACTGTTTTCTTTAAAATGTCAGTGCAGTTGGAGGAGGAATTGAGGCTTAAGGCAAGTACAGGCAAGAAGAAGCAGCAAGGACAACAGAATAGACTGCAGTTGCAGGTTTAGCTTAATTGGTATGACAGGAAAGTCTTTCTATCAAGCTTAAGCATAGAGCATGTCTAAATAATGCTGAGAAAATTGAGTTAGAGAGTGTACATACAATCATTAGGCACTGTGATGATTGCTTCTCATAGAGACCAGAAATGTCTTTAACAGAAATCATTTCCTATTTATTCACATGTGCAAGAAGGAAAGGACATCTAGAATTAAATCTGAAGTGGAGCTTGTGTAAGGTACCTTGAAGCCTAATGCGAGAAATCAGGTCCCATCAGGATTTGCTATGCATCTTTTACTTCTAATGCAACGTGACCATTAATCTAAACAAAATGTTTATAGCTTCCCATTGATGAAACAGGAATAGAAGAGTAGCAATCCAAATTCATTATGAGCAATCTCCTTTGTTATGTTTCAGCAGAGTTCAAGGTAACAATACCCAGTTGGGTTCCCCCTTCAGGCCTTTTAAAGATGTTTTGCTCTTTCCTTTAAAAATAACTCAAGGTGGCAAACATATCTATACTCCTTTTTTCCCCTTTTTCCTACAAAAATAACCTTGTGCAGTGGGTTGGGTTAAGACAGAGAGAGAGAGAGTGACTGGCTCCAAGTTACCTAGCTAACTTTTGTTTTTAAGGCAGGATTAGAGCTCAGAGTCTTCTAGTTTTAGCCTGGTACCTTAACCACTAACTGTTGTAAATTATACATTTTGGGGGAGGGGGTTGTCAGCAGAATGTAACTTTGAAGTAAGCCAAAAGTACAAGCACATTTGGGCAAGGACCCTCACTTTCTCTCTCCAGGGAATACAAAGAACATGTAGAGCATTTATTATGGTCATTAGAGCATTAATGAACATATTCAGTATCTTACTTTTTCTCTATATACTCGAACAATAAAAATACAACATTGTACATCCCAAAGGTGCTTTTTCGGGAGGCAACTGGACTTCATTGTTTATTCTTTGAAGAATTTTCATTTTTTGTCCAAGAAACTTCTTCAGCTCTGACAGGTTAGTCAGGGATCCATTCCCCACTTATCCTGTCAGAGCTAAAAAAAGCTTCCTGGATGAGAAGTGAAACATCTTCAGAAAACAAAACAAAACAAGGAAGTCCAGTTGCCTCCTGAAAAAGCACCTTTGGGGCAACCATGACCTGGATGACTGATAATATGTACAGACCACACTGTACAATATTTTAATCAACAAAAAAATGCTGGAAAATGTAGATGAATCCATTGATAAGTAGAAAACAGCAGTTGTCAATTCCAGAACCATTTGACCTCCTAATTGCCCAGATAAGGAGTCATGTTAACAACTTCAGAAATGGGCTATCAGTGCAAAGAATAGAATAGAATAGAATAGAATTCTTAATTGGCCAAATATGATTAGACACACAATGTGAAGTAACCATCCTCTGCTACCAAATGTGATGTTCCCGTGGTTCGCCCATGAGGCCAATGTTGAGAAAAGACAGGAGACAAATTTTCTCGGGATGGAGCGACCCAGATTGGGGGTCTGGTAGCCCCTTTTATTGAGATAGGACAAAGGCAGGAGGAGCAATAGCATGTGATTAAAAACAGCCTGTAAAAGTACAATTTCTAATCTACTGCTCAGGGAAGTTCTGTCTATATATGGTCAAATCCTGGGCGTCATTGGTAGGGCACATCTCAGGATGTACAATTTCTAATCTACTGCTCAGGAAAGTTCTGTCTATATATGGCCAAATCCTGGGCGTCATTGTA